TGATAGTGCCACCTCCAAACTTCACTGTTGGGACAACACACTCAGGCAATAAGTGTTCTCCAGGCATCCTCCATACCCAAACACATCCATCAGAGGTGCCACCTCCAAACTTCACTGTTGGGACAACACACTTAGGCAATAAGTGTTTTCCAGGCATCCTCCATACCCAAACACATCCATCAGAGGTGCCACCTCCAAACTTCACTGTTGGGACAACACACTCAGGCAATAAGTGTTCTCCAGGCATCCTTCATACACAAACACGTCCATCAGATTGGAAGAGCGTGTAGCGTGACTCGTCACTCCACAGGACCGATTGTCATTGAACTGCAGTCCAGATTCGGTGTGCCTTGCCCCATGTCAATTGACAGTGTGCATTTGTTTTTGTTATCAACGGCTTGTGGGCTGCAGCTCTTCCGTGAAAATTCATGGCATGCAGCTCTCGACGTGTCGTGCAAAACACTTGTAGGATTACCTGTGGCTGTTCGCATCTCCAAACACAGATTCTCTAGGGTCTGACGGCGAGATGAGGTAACCTTCTCAAGGCACGTCGGCTCCTGACAGTATTTTACGCTTACGTGGTCGTTTCTTGGGGTCATTGTTACCTGTGGACTTCCATTTCTTCAACACCGTTGCAAATTGTCGACCTGGGAATGTTTAATTTTCCTCAAATGTCATTCAACTGTCCCTCCTCCTCTGAAACTCTGTTAGCTCTTTCTGTGTACCGTTCGAAAGCCATTTTCGAACGAAACGCTGATCACCTTTATAGGCCAAATTATTTGCACATTTCGTCATCACACCCATTTTCCTGCAATAAGAAGTGTGGCCCATAGAGGGCAATGTATAATGTCTTATGACAAGTGTAATTTATTTTACACCATTACATTTGTGATTACAAGGTTTGCTGAATGACTTTTATAAAGTTTTCACGATCATGTTATTTCTATACTGGCAAGACACTCCTCAGTAATTAAAAAACGGTTTATAACTGGAGTGACCTGATGAGTATAGAGACTTCCTGATGACTAATAAAATCGAATCGTGTATACGCGCGCCCCACGCTTGGTATTGCTGGCGCACAAAAATATAGCTAATAGAAAGGTTTCATAGATTAATTTACTCTAATCCTGCCTGCAAGAATTTCAAGTGGCGTCTTGTTAAAAGTAAGTTTTCCTTCTCCGAAAATGAATTGTAAATAAACATGCCACTCCTGAAGAGGGAAATTCTACTTTGTTTCTGGTTTATATTATTTTAATTCATTGTAATCACGTGTGTGTCAATAATCAATTGTTTCTTTGATTCGCAGATCAAGAATACAAACATGTTTATGTACAGATCAAGAATACAAGCGTGTTTATGTACAGATCAAGAATACAAGCGTGTTTATGTACAGATCAAGAATACAAGCGTGTTTTTAACATTCCTGTACAGTAAATGATATCGTGAACGTGTTTATGTATAGATAAAGAATACAAACATGTTTTTAACATTCTTGTACAGTGAATGATCGTGAACGTGTTTATGTACATTATTTTTTTTATAAAGAAATTCGCTTTATAACATTATTTTGTTATATTTTCAGGTGATTTCTGAATGACTGAAAAGGAGTTTAGTGCAGTTCCTGAAAAATGCGAAGTCAGCCACGAAAGATCCTTTTAGGGATTTTCGTCTGTGGTTTCGTTGGAATCTTTGCTCTGTTTCAGTGGCAGTCTCGTTATTTTGAAATTTCCAACCACCCTTACTTCACCTACGATCTTGAACAAGAGGAACCGTTTGACGAAGAACAGACGTGTCGAATCCCAAGAATTCATCCATTTGACAACTCCATCTGGCGGTACCTAGCTGAATCCAAACCGATTCGTTGTAAACATCGTCAGGGTTTCTTGACTTACATTGATGAATTAGGAAACCTTCGTTTCAACGAAACGGAAAGAGAGTGGATAGGTACGAAACGACGAAAACTTTCGTGTTTTTACCAAGTTGTGCTCAGGCAGAATGGTTCTGACGATCAAATCACATTTGGTCCGAAAATTATTCTGCCACCAGAAGGCGCTCCGATAAGCCACGACTTTGTTCATGTTTCTTGTGTGAATTTCGCCGGGATCTCAGTATATTCAAACATTCATGCACATATCAGAAACACAAGCTTCTTAAAAAAGCCAAAATCCAAAGCTTATAACGTCAAGAAAAAAGTGTACTATAATGTCGTTATATTTGGGTTAGATTCTTTATCTAGGCTTAGCTTCATACGTTTACTGCCAAGAACTTATAATTATCTTCAGGGCACTATGAAAGGGTTTGTATTTCGTGGCATGAACAAGGTGGGCGACAACACCTTTCCTAATTTGGTCGCCATGCTGACAGGAAAGCAAGCTTACGGTAAAGAACTGAACTCGTACGATCTTTATGACGATTGGCCATTGATTTGGAGTGACTTCAATAAAGATGGGTATGTGACTTTATACGCTGAAGATTTTCCTAAGTTTGCGCTTTTTAATTATCTTTCAACAGGCTTCCAGCGCCCTCCCACGGATCACTACTTTCGTCCGTTTTGGTTGGCATTGGAGGGCTCTTCGCTATATCGGTTCAGCTCCAATATGTGTTTTGGAGCCGAACCGAAGCACATGCTTCAGATAAGATACTTGAAAGATTTCATTACGAAATACAGAGATGTTCCCCATTTTGCGTTTTCCTTTTTAGTAGAAATAAGTCACGAGTATCTGAGTCAGGTCGGTGCGGCCGATGAAGATATGTTGAGGCTGCTCCAGGATTTATATGGCGGCGGGCTTTTGAACAGAACTGTCTTTCTGTTTATGTCTGATCACGGCCATCGATTTGATGCCATGAGGGAGACCCTAGTGGGACGAATAGAAGAAAGATTACCGTTCTTTTCCATGTTCCTGCCAGAAACCTTAAAACAAGAACAACCCCACGTTCTCCATCACTTGAATGAAAACCTTAAGCGATTGACAACCCCGTATGACGTCCATGCCTCATTAGTTGATATTTTACATTATTCAGTGAGACAGAAGCCCCTTGGTTCTGTGGTTTTAGGTAAAGGTCGTTCTCTCTTTGGGTATATACCTCTTAACCGAACTTGTGACGACGTGGGTATCTCGGAACACTATTGCACGTGCGAAGAAGAAGTGCCTTTAGCTGTCAGTACAGCGCATGTGCAAACGGCGGCGAAATCTATCGTAACTCAAATTAATAACATTTTGTCCAACTTTACAGACAAATGTGCCATCTTGACTTTAAGTCGCGTGAAAAGTGCTCACCTTCTCTCCCCTAACTCCAAATTAGTTGGATACTCCATAGCAGGAATGGCGGAGAAAATTCGACTTGTCGTCGAAACAGATCCAAACAAGGGATTGTTTGAGGCGACGCTCATGAACAAAGAATACAGTGATGCGTATGAAGTCGTTGGTGACATCAGTAGGATTAACAAGTACGGTAACCAATCAGAGTGTATCCAGCACGCTATTATCAGAAAGTACTGTTACTGCTTTAGGTAGCAAAGTTTAGCTCCAGATATAGTTGTGGCAGACACCACAAATAAAACCTCAGTTTACAATTAAAATTTCAATATTTGTTTGCCACAAGGTAATTTAAATATTTAATTATTTCTTCCAATTAATGAGCGTTTTTGGTGTCACGTTTCTTAAAAGTTGACGTTAGTGGCCTAAGGGTTAGCAAGCCGTTGTCGCAAAATCACTCTCCATATTTTAGGCGTATAGGTGCGTTATAAGAGTATCAGTCGATCAGACTAGTCCAAAAGTGGAGGGGAGGGTGTTCACTAGCTGCTTTCCCCCTAGTCCAGCGGTACCCAATCTTTTTCTCTTCGCGAACCCCTTAAGTAATAATGGTTTTCGCAGCTAACCCGCTTTTAAGCAGTATTAAATTTTGTAAAATAAAACAATTTTTTAACACGTTGAATGTATTGAGTATAAACATATTGATGTAACACGTTCACAATAAGATCTGAATCTGATATTATCACCAGTTAATACCCAGTCAAATTATAATATAATTCTTGAAACATAAAAAAAAAAAAAAATGCAAACAAAAAACCATTTAACTAAAACTAACAAAACTTCTGAAGCTGTTTTTAAAGTATTTTAAAAGTTCGGTTCAACAGAAGAGAGATATATAGTCTTAAATCTGGCTCTGTATCAATTTATTCCCTCCCCGTAAATATTTAATAAATTCGAAGCAAATCAAACTATTGGTAGGAACTGTAGAACCAGTTAAGTGAAAAACGCCATTACCAAACTTTTCTTGCGAACCACCGGCTAGGAGCCGCTGCTGTAGTGTATGGACAGCTGGTGCTGGTATCTTATGTCTGTCTGCACGAAACAAACTATTAAAATTAAGTGTGGTGTAAATTTTCTCGCGTGAAATTGAGATTCAATCATTAAAGCCAAAAATATTCGATTAATATTCTGTTCCACTTGTAAGTAACCAAGAGTCATCTTATTGAAACGAACATTTCAGGAGGGATAATACACGCACACTCTGTATGAAAACATTCGGTTGTAGTTGGTTTTGGATCTTTGTAGCCGGATGTTGACCAGATATGTAAAAAAAAAGCGCCAAAATGATCAAACTGTTATATTCTTGAGAATACTTTTGATAGAACGTATATTTATTAATCAATATAATTAGCTAGGATTTTTATGAACACGCACACATCCAAGACACGTGTAAATTAAAGATGGCGTTTCTTACCGGAAAGTTACCACCTATTTCAGAAGTCTATATCTAGATTATTGGTTTATTTTTCGGAATAGGTTGTCAGTAGAAACACACATTTCTATCAGGCGTAACCATTTCAAAATGGTGTTTTAAATTGACGCTTGATTTTTGTTCTTGTGCTCTAGGAATCAAACTTGGTGAAAAAAAGTATGATATGGCTAAAAACAACAACTATTTACTAACGCAGAGTTGAAAGTTTTACGTGACAATATCTCAATTAAAAAATTGTATATGTTAATAGTGGTTCTTCATTGTATCCCATTTTAATTTATTATTTTATAGTCGGTTACTTGTTAACCCTAAGATATTTAGACATATTAAATAATCTACAAATAATAAATTCACTCTTAAGTTTGATACAACAATAAATACGATTTTGCGGTTGTTGTTTGTATTTATAAACTTTGGAAAGTGGTTATATTTGTATAGTGTATGTTTATTATGTATGTATGTATGTATGTGTGTGTGTGTGTGTGTGCACACTTGTATTTAATTCTTCCTTGCTCTGTTATGAACGTAAATGTTTGATACAGTAGTTTTCATTATACCACTAGGAGGCGTGGTTGACGAAGCTTAACATTTATTAAAGTTTTTATAATGTGTACAACTAACTAAACACCTCCATCATGTAAAGTGTTTATAATGTGTACAACTAACTAAACACCTCGATCATGTAAAGTGTTTATAATGTGTACAACTAACTAAACACCTCGATCATGTAAAGTGTTTATAATGTGTACAACTAACTAAACACCTCGATCATGTAAAGTGTTTATAATGTGTACAACTAACTAAACACCTCCATCATGTAAAGTGTTTATAATGTGTACAACTAACTAAACACCTCCATCATGCCCTTTCATAAGGTTTGAATTTGTAGACAGTAAAGCATACTTTTATCAAGTTCTGTTCCAGGGTTTAATTTTGAAAGTCATGAGACCACGTACAGGTGGAGACACCAGTTAGAACCTGAAGACGTCACTAAAAATATAGTTAGGAGAAGCTCTTTTTTTTTTCCTGTGAACCTTCTTACAGGTTTTTAAACTTGTCAGGTCAAATCGAATAAAGCAAAAATTATCATAGTTCATTTGATTATTCTGTCACTAGGAAAGACGCTTACTTACCGAACTCTTCGTGAGAGTGTTCTTGACCTTAGTAAAAAAACTTGTGCTTTGATGTTCCTTTTGTTTCTAAGAAAAATTGTATTAAAAGTTATGAACTGAATTTTGTAAGAAAATGTAAATATATGAGTTTCTATTTGTAAATCTGGCTCCATTTTGATTAAAGTGTAATCTTGAAGTCGTGTTCGTGTGTTTATTTATGGAAACGTAACCAGTACGTGCACAGTAGAACCAATATGTTATGATCTAATACAGGAATATTAGTTGGTTATGTGGGAACAATCTATACCGGTCGTGTCAGACTGTAAATGCGAGGGCTCATGGTTCGCGTCCCGTTTTCGCAAAAATCTTTGTGCTGTGGGTGCTTTATAGGAGTGAAGGTCATATATCGGAATTCGACTATAGTAGCCCAAGAGTTGGTGGTGGGTGCTGTGGACGAACTTCCTTCTTGTGTATCAGTTCAAAATTAGCGCTATCTGCACTTATCGCGAATCAAAAAGTGAAAAGTTTTGACTGACGTATACTTGGTTTGTCCGACTCGTGACCCACCAACCATCTCGAAAAAATAAGAAAAGACCCCCCCCCCCCCAAAAAAAAAAAATTTTTTTTAGTACCTTTGACTGTTAGGCTTAATTACAAAATGTTTGTTCCCTTATCACTGTATTACTCTGGTGTTCATACATATAAAATTGAATGAAATTATAATATTTTTTTTACATCGATAACTGGTACAAGTTTTAAAAAACAACTTGTAATATTACGTGAGTTTCTACTAACGTAACGTCAAAGTTTACACGTGCAGTAACTTAGTGGTATATTAGAAATGATGTATTATTGTTGATGTTTTTATTGTTATTTTATCTGTCGCTTGTGTTTCGTACAAAGTCTACAAATTAATTAATTATCGGGGTTTTTAAGTCCTTTACAATCACCAATAAAGCAACCTATAAGAATTCAGCTATTTGAATCGTTAAAGTCTATAAATATTCACTACTTACGTTATTCGAGGTTTTAGGCTGGTGTGCGTGAAATATGCAGGTTCAACTCGTTTTTCGGCTGCAAATGCCAAACGATTTTACGTCACGGAACCGCCACTGTAAAACAACAGTTTTCTAAAAACGATTAATTAGTTTTTCTGGTAAGCTTTAATTATTCTCCACTCGTACTAAAAATGTTTTATACGCACAACACACTGCAATTACAACATTATTGGTTTAACAATATTTTCACAAAACTGCATTAGGAAATGAGAGAAAACATGAATTTGTCACAGATTTCGTCTAAGTAAAA